TAATTTTATATAAATATAATAATTTTACAAATCTATTTAATTTATTTTCATGTAGAAATAAACAGATTCTTATTCTACAATTTTTTCTCGGGGTGTTATTATTTAAATGACAGTTTTAGAAATTTTTTTGACAAGTGAATGACGTGGGATTATAGTTGGATGGACCCACCCGTGTCGTGTGGTGTGCATGAGCGTGTGCGCATTGTAGCCTCGGACGTGGTCCAAGGGCCTCATTCTCGTTTTTCGACGAAAGCTATATATATGTGTGTCTGCCCCCTATTTTCCCTTCAACGACTAACTGAACAACACAGACACAAACTCAAAATCCAGACACTTGAACAGAACAACCTCATGGACCACGACTCAGAAGCATCACGCGAAACAGGTTCTCCGACAACAGTTCAGAGTAATGGGTATTCGGACGAGGAAGTGATACTCGCATCGTCGCGGCCCAAGAAGCGAGCTGGGAGAAGAGTGTTCAAGGAGACTAGGCACCCCGTGTACCGGGGAGTGCGACGGAGGAATAACAACAAGTGGGTCTGCGAGATGCGAGTTCCCAACAACAACTCACGGATTTGGCTCGGCACCTACCCCACGCCGGAAATGGCTGCGCGGGCGCACGACGTTGCGGCCCTCGCGCTCAGGGGAAAGTCCGCCTGCGTCAATTTCGCGGACTCCGTGTGGCGCCTGGCGGTGCCTGACAGCACAGACGCGGAGGAGATACGGCGAGCGGCGGTGGAGGCTGCCGAGGCATTTATGGGTGAGGATGTTAGCCAACAGCAGAGGAGTGAAGAAGTTGAAGATCCCCCGCGACTGCAACAAGAAGAGATGTCGGAAGTTGAAGAGTTGCATGATTTGCTTCTGCGAATTGCGAATGAGCCTTTGATGTCTCCTCCTCCTTGTGTGAGAGATGGTAGGGAGTGGAATGACGTGGAGATATTTGATGCTGAGATTTCACTGTGGAGCTTTTCAATTTGACGCGTACCTACTACACTACACTTGGATCAACTCCATTAATGAAGGATAGTACCTTTTTGGTGTGGCTCACTCTTGAGTATGATTGGAATAGCGAGATCACCTTTTTCTCTCTGCATCTCATTTTCTTTAGTTTTCAGGAACAAAGAATCTGTGCATATGAAGTTTCTAGTTGGCACTCGATTGTGTTTAGGGAACATATGTAGTTGTATTGTATACACTTGTCTGTGTTGTGATTTTAATCACAATTATAAGCTGCAGTAATAAAGCTATATAAACAAAACAAATATATATATTAATTCTCTAGTGTCGTCGTTTTTTTGTTTTTGTAGTTTTTGGCTATGTCAACGTTGCCATTAACTTCTGCTAAATTTAATTATAACAACGTGTGTATAAATTATAATTGACAAAAATTCCAATTAATTGTTGAAGTAAACTATTAAAGCTTTACAACATTTTAAAGCTTCGTGTTCGTTAATACGAAGAAAAAATAATAATAAATTATTATAAAAAAAATTGAATTTTGTGATTACAATTTGATAAATCTTTTATATATAGATGATTTCAGTAATTGTCTGTCATTAAATGATTTACAGTTTTATTAAAAACAATTATATGATTTTTTTTTAATTTGTGTCAAAAACAAATATACGCGTTTTGCAGTTTTTGTAATGTACTCTTTAGTTCATGTACGTATGTTACCAATTATTTATAAAAACCTGATAATTACATATATAATTTTTAATACAAAAAGATTGAAAATTTTTACAAATAAATAATAAGAGTTTAATTCTTTATATCATAACATTCTTTAAAAAAAAAAAATTTTCTATAATTCCTCTAAAAGTGAAAGGTTATAAATTATTCGTTTCTAACTTATTATATTATTGAAGTGTTGATGAAAGATAGAGTATATGAAGAATTAATGTGAATTTATGATTTTTTTATAAGAAATAAAATTTAAATATAATTTAATTAGATTTATTTTTATTTATATACAAATTTATCTTATACATAGTTGATATGGTATTTCTAATATAATTATCTCATGACAGATTATATACATAACGGAACCAGATATTAATTGATGATTTAATAATAAATTATATGATAAACTCGACAAACTACTAATTTTCATTCAAATTGATCTATTAGATAAACATAATTTTGAACATAATTAAGTAAAATTTGTTCGATTTCATCCAATGACGATATGATTGAAGTTTGTTAGCTTGTCAATTTTTTTTTCAACGTATTAATATATAGTAATACAATTAATATATGGTATACATACATTTTTCTAATCTGATACATAATTTCATTTAAAAATAACAATCTAGGTGGATTATGTTGATCGGCTCACTAAACTACAGGTCTGTAAAAAAAAAAGTATAAGATAGACTAAGTTTTTGAGATCATGAACCTATCCATATAACCTGCAATAGGCCATGTAAATTTAAATTTTTTAAAAGATATATATGTTTTTAATATTAAATAAAAACAAATACTCTATAATGTAACAATAATAATTATTAAGCATTTAAATATAAATATACAAATTATTAATTAAAAATTTAGATAATTGAGTCAACATAACAAATCTTGATTAATAATATTCATAATTTCAATAAAAAAATCATAATAGCCACAATTGAAAAAATAATATTAAAAAAGTATAACTGTTATTTTGTTTTGAGTAAAAATAGCCAACAACTAATCATATTATAGTAAATATAACAAATTATATATATATATATATATATATATATATATATATATATGAAATCAAAATATTATATAAATTAACTAAAATTTAATAAGAACAGTTTAAAAAGACAAGAGGCATTAAATTGAGGTTTAATACCCAATTTTGTCCCCACTTTGGTTCGAAAATCTCAAGTTAGTCCCTTTATAGAAAAGTGAGTTGAATGAATCCTTACTTGTAATTAATTGACTCTAATGAGTCCCTTCCGTTAAATAGAAGGAAACGGAGTTAGTGGACTGATGATGTGGCAGTTGTCTTTTGTGAGGTGTGTTTGCGTGCTTACGTGGTGTTAGGGTTCCCCATTTTCAAATTGGGTTGTAGTAAAAATTGGAGATAAAGGATTTGGGGCTGATTTGTTCGAGATTAGGGCATGTCCGAGAAAGAAGACAGAAGCAGGCAGTGATCGTGGGACGGAGCAGTGGTGGTTCGCGGTTGGCGTTGGAAAGAAAGTCCAACAGAGATAGATCCAACACTCTTCACTTTCTTTTCTCTCTTTCTTTTGTCTTTTTCGTTTTTTGTTTTAAATAATATATTAAAGGCGACAACATTCGTTTCCTCGCCATAGCCACAAAAGTTACAGTTTTTGTCGTTCATTATATCCATCCCATTTCGCTCCCATAGCCCTAACCCATCTGTGAGTTTTCCATGCTTTCTTTTACGCTGCATTTTACAATTTTCCTTTTCTGCGATGTTCGAGAATCAAATTTATTTTTTTATTTTTGCTACTCTTGTAAATCTGTTCCGTTGCTATTTTAGGGGTTTGATCCAAGTTAGAACAACTGCTCCTGCATTCGCACTAGCTTACATGTTATTACACATGCATTATGAATACCTTGAATCCAACAACTATTTTCTACAATGTTATTTTAATTTCAGAGCGTATATAAGTTATTAGAAATTGTAAAATTTAATAATTTTTGGGTATGAATCATTGCCATATTGATCTCATTTAAATGATAACATCGCTTAACAACTGTTAAAATATTGTGAGAATGTCTCTGCCCTTGAAGTTTTGAATTGTTTTGTCTGCTGCATAAAAAAACAATGTTTAACTTTTCCCACTAGGAAATTTGTTTGTTCAGGTGCTGAAATACTTACATTTTCTTTTCTTTCTTGTTTTTTTTTTCAAAGGAAGGAGTTAGTGTTTCTGGGTAATCATACTTTTCTTTTAAATTCACTTGTTGATTTTATCCAGCATTACGATTAGGGAATGTTGGAAATCAGACATACTTTATTTGGTCAAAGAATAACATTTCTCTCTTTTTCAGATATATTTTCTAGAGAGAACTCTGTAATTGGCATTCTGGAAGATGAACCAACAGAATCATGGATTAGGTACTCCTTTAAATGTTCCAGTGAAACGAAAACGTGGTCGACCAAGAAAAGAAGGAAGTGCAGTTCAAGGGGAGAATGTAGCTGTAATTCCTGATTCTGACAATGTGTTGTACTCCAGCCAAACAACTGGTACAACTAATGATTGTGACGATGAAATGGTAGGGAAGTTAGTTAGTGGTGTCATTGAAGGAACTTTTAATGCTGGATATCTTCTTAATGTTAAGGTAGCAAACACTGATGCTGTTTTAAGAGGCCTGGTGTACATCATCTGAATGAGGCCTGGTAGCAAACACTGATGCTGTTTACTTTCTGTTTTTGCTGCCACATTTCCTAATAAATGAGTTTCCTTTTCAACATTGTTTTTGGTCTGTCTTTACGTAATCTTACCATTTGTTTTTAGTTTAATCCTGTTACTGAGCTCTTGGTATGTGAAGAAATATAACTTGTTGCCGGTTGGTCCTGTTGCAAATTATGAACTCTTCGCTTGTGTATGAATATCAACAATTGGGTCAGTGTTTGGCTAAAAGTAGCATTGTTTATGGAGATACTTTTGGTAAGAACAAAGAGAAAGTGAGTATGAAAACAAATATTCTAATTTATAACTTTGAGGTTCTGCTATGGACAAAAAAAATACAGGTGAAACTTTGTAAAGCGATATCCTGTACCTCAACAGAGGCAAGAGAAATATGCATTGTCATTAAAAATACTCGCTATTTCGCGCAGGACAAATGTAAAAATTCTTCAAAAAACATCAGCTTAAATTTATGTCAATCAACTTTTCTATTGTTAAAACTTGACCTGTTTTCATTGTGAAGTATCATCCAAAATAATAAATTCAGGTGATCTCTAAAATATTAATCATCTATTAAAATATTTAATTATTTAATTTCAATAACATTCAACACTAAAACTTTTTCATAATTTGTTAGATCGCTTCGGTGATTTTTTTAATGCCATTCCACTGATTCGCATCTGGTTGGGCCTGAGTCATCCATGAAAACCAAATTCATTATAAAAATCAATTAACAAGGATAAAGCATATCAGAATGACCACAGTTCAGTAACATTGCTTACTTGTTTGTTTGAAGGACTTCGGCCCCATGAAAGCCGAACATTTTGTCCACCCAAAAGTGTGCCGTTTAAAACCCGCAAAGCTTCTTCTGCACAGCTCCTGGTGCATAAACATGAAAAATCACGGCACAATCAGAGGACACTGCATTTAGACAAGTTACCAAGATATATATAAATTACTTCAATGATTAAATTACCTGTCTGCAAATTGGACAAATCCACATCTCTTGCCAGCTGGAATCTTCACGTGAACTAACTCTCCATACTGCCCAAAAACTTGTCTCAAATGGTCATCGGTTTGCGCTCCCCTGCCCATACGACGCCGTTTGCGGAGGCGCATTATAACCGTACCCACTCTGAGGTGGCGCACCACCGTAGCCCTGCTGTGGCGCACCGTAGCCCTGCGTAGGCGCATTGTAAGGATACCCACCGGGCGGCGCCGCGGAGTAATAGGCATCCTGTGGCGGAGCACCGTAGGGAGAGTACCCATAGCCCTGCGGAGCAGGAGAATAATCCCTCACGCCGTAAGCCGGCGCGGGGTAACCACCGGGTGGGGGATAGAATCATGGCAATTCTTTTGAGGGGATAGAATTTTAAAATGTTTTTGATTTGGATTTTGCAGGATCTGGAATTGGCCAAGACTCTCATAAGGAAAGGCTGACTCTTTCCTGAAGAACTTTCAGAGGCAAAAAATTCCACCTAACACCACGTAAGCACGCAATCAAC